AGTATTATTTACATACCTTAAAGGGTATGTAAGGAGGGATTGTAAGAAATTAAAATCAATGTTTAATGACGTAATTTAGTTTAAACATACAGTAAGCTTAAAACTGTTTTATTGTGAAAACATTTCCGGTTAGCATTCGCCTGTGGCTAACGTTGATGCTAAAGTTTATTTTGAAAAGCTATTCCGGAAGACGTCTCCGGAATACCAACAGTGCGCTTAACTTCCGGTTTTACGTAAATAACGATCACAGCCGTTAAAATGCATTAAATAAAAAGTCATGAAAGAGAGTATGGGGAGAAAAGGCGTGTGGAGTTATACAATGAAGAACACAACGTCTAAATCCTCTGTTTTACGCAATATCGGACATAGAAGACCGAGGAGTGAGGTCCCCCTACGTCACCACAGCCGCCATTGAAGAGGAGGAGCCAAATATTGAGATATATAGAGTGGTGAAGTCATGCCCATCTACTTCCGGTCCATGGGACCTTATTTCGGAAAAATAATGTATTGAAGTCAATGGAGAGAGAAAACTTATCTTTCGATCCTGTTTGAATTGTGCCATGAATTACACATATGATGTTTGTCAATCTTAAAAAATAATTTCCATGTCAAAAAAGTCACAGTTTGTCGTAAAACTGTTGAAATATAAGACTATGAAAAATACGCAACTAGAAAGACTACAAATCCCAGAGTCGCGTAAGTGATGTCACAATTGTTTTCCTCTACTAAGAGATAGCTAAGATCAGCGCCATAGAATATAATCTATCTATATGGCGCTGGCTAAGATAAGATAACTTTAACAAGATGCCTGTGTGCTTAGTACCAGGTTGTTATCATACCAGCAATGGGTCTTGCTCGTTCTTTCGCTTCCCGTCTGATGAAAGGACCAGGAGTGTCTGGATCAAGCTAGCTAGTAGCTAGCACGTTAGTTAGCATTACAGCCTTGTCATTTTTATTAGCCTTAACATGAAGTAACATTAAGTAACCCAAAATGTTAAACAGTAAGAGTAGTAGTCATATTTCGTGAACCCTTTGAATAGTACTGTCACCGGTGTGATCATTCTGTAATACACAATTTAAGCCAGGGGGAGAAATGCTAACGCTAACGCTAGCATCGGCGATCTTCTCTACTTCATGCTATCTGCACAAATGGTTGACATTAAACATTAAAAAGACCAGGCAGTTCAGAGAGAATCAAAGGAAGGCAGGCAGGCAGCTTTGCATGACATTCTTCAGGACGTGTTTCATTGTGGTGATAGTGAGGGTAGTCAATCGTTTTGTTGACAAGACAGTAGTGACGGCCATCTTGGTGACGTGTGTTGTTCTGTGAGACCAGAGATGTAGTTCATTGAGCGTTTCACACAAACAAATGTGTTACTTCACAGTTTTACGACAATTTTTTTTTTTTTTGACTTGCAAAATTATCTTTTAAATTGACAAACATCATATGTGTAATTCGTGGCATAATTAAAACGGGATCGAAAGATAATCTTTCTCTCTCCATTGACTTCAATACATAATTTTTCCGAAATAAGGTCCCATGGAGGTCCACCGGAAGGGGAGGGACTTCGCCACTCTATAGAACTTTAGGTGACAGAGCTTTGTTCGCGCTCTTCTCCACTGCGAGACACAGCTGCAGCTGCGCTCTTCCCAACACCTTCTGTTTGTTCCATTGCCGCGCTATTGAATTAAAGTACCCATTTGAACCTTTTCAGAGACTCCATTAGTCTCTTTATTTTAAGCTTCTCTCCTGGGACGCGAGAACAACGAATACTTCTAATAGTTGAGACCAAAAACAGAGCTAAAAGAACAAAGAGTGAATATTGGACTTACATTTATCAGGTTCACCCTACTTTCTGGTTTTCTAGAGAATGCAAGCACAAGAGTGGTATCGGAGAATTTATAATTTTGCTCTGGGTGAAAGCCGAAAAAAACGTTCAGATTTTTTCTTGTACTGTGTCTCTTTATAGCTGTGACTGTGTAAACAATTTACAGCCTGAAACACAAGCAAACAAGTTTTTCTCAGATATTAACCTGCTGCTCTATCTCGCTTTCGAGTCAGGTTTTTTTTCTCAGGCAATCTTCTTTAGTCCTAGTATTCTGTTTGTGTGTTTGTATATGTGTGTGTGTGTATTTGTGTGTGTGTGACCTTTTCTGACACAACAATCATACATGTATACCAGAGCTGTGGCCTTGAAGCAAACAGATACACAGGAAGTGAGTCATTGCGCTTCTGCCCTTTCAAAGTTTTGCAGTGAAACTAATCTACAAAACCTCAAAGGATACAGAGCCAAGGTATTGCCACTGTGTTTGTGACCTTTAATGCTAAGATTGTGTAGATAATAAGGCAGGCGTTTGGTGATGTATTGCTGCAGAATGTTTGTGTAGGAAACCCAAAGAAAAACAAAGTTTGTGGTTGACACAAACACAAACTTTAATGAAATAATAATGCTTGTTGATCACAGTACTAAATTGCATTGATGTAAGGTTAGTTTTTGTGTGGGCACCTGTGTCTATGTATTGTTGGTTTGACTCCCTGTGATCTGAATCAGGTTTGAATTTACACTCTATTTTTAAGATTTTTGCAAGCTGTTTAATGGAATTTAATGGTAGTTAATAAATGGCCAAATTTAAACCATAAAAGGCAACTATATAAAATACAAAAGAAATGGGGATTGTAATTATCTGCACCATACTACAATTAATCTAAAGCTATTTTTGTTCATCACTTTTGGCCTTCTGTTGCCTCTTTGCGCCGGTGGTTGGAGTCTCCATTTTTCAGATGATTACACTCAGTTGGCCACTGTAAGCTCTATTAACTATGATCATCACTACATCAGAAAAACACTAAGACTAATTTTAAGCAGGGAATATATTTCGGTGGTAAATTTAGGAAAGATGATTGAGAAAACATTTTAAACAATATAGCTATCAGTTATGTTGGCAAACATTTGCATTCCATTAAAAGCACAATTGATCCTCATGCATCCACTTTGAGATGGACAGTATTAACAATCTGAATTAATGATGTCATATTTTAGATCAAATATGTTGATGGTGCAGCAATTCGTTATTAATGTGGACATATGTTTTTTATCAGATACATTCGACCGGAAATAAGCTCTTTATAGCTATTTTTATTTTTATTACAAACGTTTAGTTTCTTTGTTGAATAGGTATTATATTGAATTGTGTGTGAAAGCTTCTTGGTTTTAAATTATTCCAATAGGCTCCACTATTTTACTGGCTTGCAGGGCTTTACATAATTGTACATTTATTTTAGCAAATATCTGTCAAATCTGTGTATTCATCAGATATTTGCACCAGCTATATGCTGACACTATTTTAGCTATTTGAGCACCTTCATTTTTCCCCTTGACATCGTTTTATAGCTCAGGCAACAGCCGTGACAGGTAAAGGTCAAGGAAAGAAGAAATGTATAATCTAAGGGAATAGGGTTGATTTCTCTTTCCTTCATTACCTGTGCCCTTTACTCTCACTTCTGAGATTTCTCTCTCAACTTAAGAACATGTGCAGAGAAGAGGACCTTATGAAACAGCGGGTAACAGATAAAAGCATCACCTGCCATCATCAAACTATCTTTTTCTTGACTCTTTTTTTCTTACTCTCTTTCTTACAAAGATGTGCAGTACTGTCTCTTTTCTGTGTCTTTTATTTCATTTCAGCCCCTCCTCATTAAAACTCTCCAACTCCATATCAGTCAGCTCCTATTTATCCCTCTTTGAAATCCTTCATTTGTTTCTATATCTTTCCTACCTATATCTGCGTATTTTGTTACCTGCAGAAGCTTCTGATTTAGAATAAGATAATAAACACACAAAAAGGGCTGCCTTTTATTGCTTGAATAAACTGAACATGCCGCAGGGCAACTCAAACTCTAAGCTGTTATTGCATGGCCAGAGTATTTAATGAACTGAACAAGGTTCAATGTGTACAAATGCCACTGAGACATGGTTATTAAAACAGAAGCAGCTTAGCCGGAAAGCCAATGCTAGTCTGGCTTTTCATTGAAGAAGCATTACTGCGGCAGTAGCTGACATGACTTTGTTTTCTGACCTTTTTCTCAGCTAAGTCTGGAAAATAAGACAATAAATAAACAATGAGTGTTGACTCAGGGCCAAACAGACAGGCAGTACATGGACAAACTCATTCAAACATTTGCTATATCCTGTTGAATGGTTGTTCCGTTGTCATAAGGGTGCAAATAAGTTACATTTGTATAATATTTCAAGGTATGTTTGTTCAATGTTTTAGTTTGTATCATTATTTGTTAAATATAAACTGATATTCTACACTTCGTAGAGGAAAGAAACATGCTGAAAAGGAAATTCTAACATTTTGTGATGGTGTTCACATCAGCTTTGGGTTTATTTGTATGGTGTGTTATTTACAGAAGAGGCCCTTAAACATTTTCTGATTATAAGTCCTTGATCATTATAGGTATTTGTTTTTGATATTCGTGCACTGTCCTCCTGTTCTTGTTATAATTGTTGCTTGATCAAAAGTAAGTGAATTGTAAAAAGAAAATAGTAACTTTTTATCTAACTACAGAAAGAAGACTGTTGCATTGCTTTTCCTGTGTGTATTATCAGTCTTTCTTTGTAGAATTGCATGTGATTTGTATGTATGTGTGCACAGTTTTTAGACAACTCTAATATACTGTACTGTAGAATGTGCATTCTCTTACTGTTAGACTAAAGAAGCAGTTGCCTTTATTCAAAATATACCTCCATTTAGATGCCATAGTTACATGGCACCTTTTTAGATGTATTACGGGCTGTGGTTATTCAATACTTTGAGTAGGTTGAATAGTTCATTCTTGACTTTGGCAACATCAGTTAAGAAAACACTTTACTGCAGTATGTGCCAAGCCTGTTACACTATTTACTCATGTTTTATGTGTAAGCTGCAAGTTTCTTGAAGGGATTGTTTTCAGGCAATAGTATGTCATTTTTTTCTCTCTGTGTTTTCTCTTCCAGTACCGGATTGGGCAGCTGTACATGATCAGTAAACACAGTCACGAGCAGAGTGACAGAGGGGAGGGAGTGGAGGTCGTCCAGAACGAACCGTATGAAGACCCGGAGCACGGCCAAGGACAGTTCACAGAGAAACGAGTCTACCTCAACAGGTCAGTGGAACGCGTCGATTCCAGTATATTGTTAAACCTGCAATCATTTCAAGTTTGTTCAATTTTTCGTACCCTTTACTTTTAGTCTATTTTACAGATTAAATCATTAAGCCGTAGCTTGTTCATTATTTGTTTTCTATATTTTACATATTATTTGGGCAGAATCCTTTGGTCCAAAGAACATATTTTGTTCCTTTCTGAAAAAAAGAAGGTGGGCAGAACAACTTGGGCCACTGTGAAGAGCAGCACCTGCTGAAACTTTGTCAACAGTAAATTCAAGTAATAGGGTAGCACAAAACCACAGTATAGCATATGTATATATATATATATATATATATATATATATATATATATATATATAGTAAACACTATAGCAATGAGCTTGGTAACAACTTGTGCTTTAAATTATAAGTTTAAAAAAAAAAGAATTGGCTCATTGTCTTAAAGGCTTGCTCGCCACCTGGGACTAGATATCATGTCTCTGAACTCTATCACTCAAACATCTAATTTAATCCTTTGCCCTGCCTTGACCCAAAGCTGGAAAAACCTGAATTAAATGTGTAATAAACAGTATGTTTGCATATGAACTGTCTGAGATTACATTGAGCCATTGCATAAGGCTGCAAAGGTTGCAAACACGTCACTGCTGCTCACTACATGTTGTTAGTAGCAGGTTTTCCTGAGTCACGTATGCATCACACTTACATCACCACATACTGATGCATCTCATTGTGTCCCATGCAGCTGCACGTGTAACTCTTCCACACGCAGTTTTGACCCACGTGAACTAAACGAAGATGACAGTGAAAAGGGTGGAGAATGTGTGGAAAATATAAAGATGAAATACAACGAAAGTCTGAGAGAAAGGAAAAAATAAGAACAAGAGAGGGAGAAAAGAGAGGGGGGACAGAGATGCTGTAGGACAATTTGTTTAAGCATAAATACCTGTGTCAGCGTGCGCTATGCCAGGGAACTCATTATGCTGAGTCAGCACAGCTCTGCTCTTCAGAGGAGAGAAGAGGGAGAAAGAAGAGGGGAGAAAACACATTTAAGTTGGGCAACTATTTAGGTATGTGTATTCAAAGTGCTATGTATGTAATCAAATATTTAAGAATCAAAATTAAAAACAAGTTCCACAATTTCACATTTAACCTTTTGGGTAGTTACTGTAAATATATGATGGTTGGAAAAACAGAGGAATGGAAGTTGTTATATGGACGTTTTCGATGTCAACATGCAAGAAACACTACAGCAATGTCACCTTCTGTTCTATGTTTAACTTGTGGCCTGTTCTATATTTCACAAAACATCTTTGTTTTTACATTTCTTCTCATAATGAGAACTCAAAAGTTTACTTACAGCTCCCTTTACCCATAGAAGGAATTTTAATAGAAATATTATGAAGAAATAATCCAATCATACTGCAGTTTAAATGTAAAAAGACAAAACACTGACCTTTTCTGAGTAGCTGACATTTTGTTAAAGTCAATTTCTCATTTCTCTGGTTACACTCAAGATCAGCCTAACACAGCCTGGTTCCTCTCACACACCCTTTTAAAGAAAATGAAGTTGGATCTTGTTAATTGGACATTATTTATCATATCTAAACCATGTACATTCAACTGGCCATCTGGTTCTGCAAATAACTGAACATTTAGCTCTGATTCACCAGCATACAAGTCAATCTGGACTTGTTCTGTCTCACAGACCCCATATTGGCCCTCACAATCTGCCTTGAGCTGTACCTCATTATTTGGATTCAACCCGTCCGACCTTAGCATGAATTCCATGTCTGTTTTGTTCATTACCTCCATTCATAAGAGCGGCGAGGGGATAGTTGGTTCATTGAACAGAATAAGGTGTTACCTTTCCTTGGTATGTGTTTAACTAAAAGGGTGTTTTTTCTATTCATTTAAATAAAAAACAAATGCCAGCTTTGGCATGATAAACTCAGAGCAGCCACCCACCACTCGCACGCCTGGCAACGTGGGCCCCGTCACAGCAGCTATTGGCAAAGATCTTTTGAAGAACAGGGAGGGATTGGGAGAAATCAACAGATGGAGGTGTAGGAGGAGTGCCAGTCTCTTTTGTTGGGAGGGAGAAAGAGGGAGAGAGAGTGTGAGTGAGCCTGCCAACACACACACAATGTGATGGTCGATGGCTGTTTTTATTCACAGCCATCATGTGCAGTGGGCGCCATTTTTATCCTCCTCAAGGAATTGTTTTCCATGTCAATCAAAGGGAGTGGAGATGGAGGCATGGTACAGGAAAGCTTGTGCACTGAATAAGTTCTCAAAGCAGCCTCAGTTAGAGTTCAATAGTGCAGGGTGCACACATTGGCAGTATATTGAACCTCTATGAACACGTGGTAGTTAATGCACAGAAGTTCAAGGTGCTCAGAGAACTATGAGGTCAAGGGCACAACTAAAGGTAATCATTGTAATGGTAAATATGCTTATTTGTGTTCTTGCCGAGAGTCGAATAACATTAATACGACT